CACAAACACATATATATACATATACATATACATGTAAGAAAAATCTATGTGATTGTACATCATCAGTGTATGTATCCTCAACTTGTAGTAAGTTACCTGCTAACTCCTCTAAACCTGGAGCTCCTCTTAATAGTACTACCAGTTGGAATCTGCTGAGCTGTTGCCTCTCCGTTGCCATTCTTCACAACCGCTGACAATGCTGGCTCTCTCCCCTCCTCTTAATGCACTTGACACCGCCACTGCCCTCCGCTGAATTTGCAGGTACGCTAAGAACTCTCCTTCTATTATCGTTAATCTCGTTCTTAATCAGCATCACATCCATTTCTTATAATTGCCTAAATTTAGTGCTATCTGATGAGATGTTAGTATGGATACTGGCTGGAGACCTTACAAGGGAAGAATGTGGAGACTTCATGTGTGTATATATATTGTCTTATGGGTTGTAATCTTTCTGTATGGGACAAGACCAGACGAAATTAACCGATAGTTTCCAAGTAATTATGGGCATAACAATTTTGTCTTGGATCTGTTTGCCAGCAGAAGCCATCGAGTAAGGATAAAATATTAATTAACTCTTTGCTGGGAATATATAATATGTTTTACGTGAAATATGAAAGAAATCGAAGGTGCGTGGTAATTTGATTCATCACTGGACTTGGTTGGTGTTTCACAGTGTATTGGGGAACCTGTGAGCCTGTGACCAGGTTTTGTTGGAAGCAATTTCTCTTCTGACTTGAAAGTTGCTACCTATACCATTAGAAGCTATTAATGATAAGTTGATATAAATACATAATTAAAAAAAAATCAATATTCTTTTAAATGAATATTTTATATAACTACTAATAATAAATATTTACAGTTTAGGTACATAACGATCTTGAAATCTTAATAAAACTCTGGCAGAAGCATAAAATAAAAAATAAAAATAAAAATCTGAGAACTAATATCTAGTACAACAGAGCCATCAACATTTTTATTTAGTTAAACAGAATTTCACACATGAGTTACGTCCATCATGAATTACTTATATTAAAGAATTTAATGATAAATAAACCAGCCGTTGTCCTGCGGGATTATAGTTTGAGTAAAAAAATTTGTGTAGTGCTACTGCTATTCTAAGAAAGTGAACCAACCATTTTATTAGTATCTATCGATATATTTTATAGAAGTTCTGCATATATACCTTCCTTCTTTAGCAAGTAGGGCTTCGTTACAAGATGTTATCCTTTTTCAGTTATAAGGATGACAACAAGAACCAAGAACGACCTAATCTCCTAATAGCAATCAAACAGACTCCTAGCATCTTCACATATAACTTCTTTTTTTTCCCCCTTAACTAGTACTCTTTGTCTCCACTAGAAATCATCTATGATAATCTCATTCATATTCACTACAAGTTAACTTATAATGAAAATTAAGACAAACGGTCATTAGCAAAGAGAACGGACTTATTAATAAGTCCAAGCCTAACTAACCTCCTAAGACAACTCTAAGACAAAAGGTATAATCCCTAATGCGTTAAGAAAACTTAGTTTTATGTGTAGAAATTTGTCTTGTGAGGTAGAAAACAAACCAATCTTACAATGTCTTAGAGATTAACTCCAGGCGAATGTATGTTACTACAAAAAACGATCCTTGGTTATTTCACATGATTTAGCAATATATTCTTTTATTTTGAAAGTTCTCTTTGATTTGAGGTTAATAACAGAATTCATGTCTGTTTCGCCTTCATTCTTTGACATTTTCCCCCTTCTCGTGGGGCAAAGACGGCAAGCGATTAGTCCTATGGTTTTAAGTCAACAATATGATCCCTATGATACGTTATTTGACATTTCAAATTTTTTTTTTTAATCATGGTTTTGCATTGTCAAAGAAGGTTGAAACGAAAAGATTCGAGATACTTGTCTCAACAACCTTTCTACTCTAAGCCCTGACAATCCACAAACTATTATGGATGTTCAGTAGTCTATAACAATCAGGAAGTTCGGATGCTGAGATTAGAAGATGACCCTCTATTCTTATTAATTATCTCTAAACTGTAAATGTACAATAATAGTACAAAATTGATGTACATAGAATTGAGTATTGACTGATTGTACACAATTGTTCACTTGGACAGGTGGCAGTCAATGCGACACTTTCGTTTCCTGCTTTTTGTTGACATAAGGTAATTGGCGTGAATTTATTGCTTCCTTTTGGATTATATTTTGTCAGAGATTTTAGGAAATTAGAAGGATAGAAAAAAAATATTAAAACAAAGAAAATTTCTTTGAGCTAAGCTGAACAATGAATCAATAATTATAAATTGGATGATACTATGATAGTAACTACCTTCCTTTTAGGATGGGTCCAGCTAAACTTTTACCTTGTTTTTCAATCTGATTCGATTTGCCGATTATCTTTCAAACTTGACAAAATAACATCATGTAATGGATATTTTACTAATTTCATCTATGATAATCTCATTCATATTCACTACAAGTTAACCAATGCAGATGAACTCAACTGCATTGGTTAATGATCCACTATGAGGAAAATTTAGGAGTTACAATATCTCTTTTCATGGAGAAACTCTCTATTTTTCTCTCTTTCTCTCTCCCTCTCTTTTTCTTTTCGCTCTTAATTGGAGACACTTGGATGATCTAAACTTAACGCTGGGGAGAGCTATATATATGTGAGTTTGTGGTAGATGCACACTGTTGCTATAATATTGCTGCAGTAACATTATGTGGGTATACAGTTGGTGATTACTGTAGTGAGTAGGTGTTTATTGTAGACACCATTCTTTATTGAGCAGATTCTTGCCACTTTCGTGTTGCTCAAGTCTCCGACAGATCACAATAGGTTCGACACCGAATAAATTTATCAGTATTGACTGTTTTGTCAAAAATCTGCTAGGTTATCTTTGGTATGAGTTTTCTGCATATCCACTGTTCATTATTCCACTTTCTCATGAACGAAGTGGTACTGAACTCGAATGTGTTTTGTCTTTGAATGAAAGATTGGATTTCTTGCCAAATGTAAAGCACTCTAACTGTCACAAAATAGAAAAATCTTTTTTTGTTCATGTTCGAGTTTCTCCAGCACCATCATCAACTATATCGCCTCTTTACTAGCTTGTGTAGCTGCTACATATTCTGCTTCTGTTGAAGTAGCCACAACTGACTGCAGTTTTAAAACCCAGCTTACAACTCTGCCAACAAGTGCAAACATATAGTATGTGATGGATTTGCTATTATCACGATCACCTGCATAATCAGAATCAACATATCCATTGACAATAAAATTTGATCTCTCATAACAGAATATAATATTTGAGGTCTCTTAATGTATCTTAGGATCCTTTTTGCAGCATTCCAACGCTCTTTATCAGGATTCGCCATGTATCAACTAATCACTCTCACTGCTTGTGTAATGTCTGGTCTTGTACAAATCATAGTGAACATCAGACTTCCCACTGCTGATGCATACGGTACTCGAGACATCTCCATCATCTCTTTTTCACTGCTAGGACTCATACTGAAGGATAACTTGAAATTAACAAGAAGAGGGGTAGAAATTAACTTACGATCTTGCATATTAAAACGCCGCAAGATTTTCTTCAAATAATTCTTCTGAGAAAACTAAATCTTCCTATTAATTCTGTCTCAATAAATTTACATCCCTAGAATCTTATTTGCAGATCCTAAATCCTTCATTTTAAATTTTCTAGCTAACCGTGTCTTTAATTCTTTAATATGATCTTTGTTGGGGCCTGTAACCAATATGTCGTCAACAAATAATAATAAGATAACAAAGTTATTTTCACCAAACCTCTTAAAATATGTACAAGGGTCTGAATTAAGTCTGTTGTATCCAATGCTCATGATGAATGAATCAAATATCTTATACGAACACCTCAACGCCTACTTTAGACCGTACAGAGATTTTTTCAATCGGCAAACCAAGTTCTCTTTTTTTTCGAAACCTTCTGGTTGGAGCATATAAATTTCTTCTTCAAGATCTCCATGAAGAAATATTTTCACATTTAGCTGCTCTAGATATTAGTCAAATATAGCGCTCATAGCCAGGACTATTCAGACTGTTGTAAGTCGAACTACATGAGAAAATATTTTATTAAAGTCAATACATTCTTTCTGAGTATATCCTTTTATTACCAATTTAGCATGATATCACTTCACTTGATCATCTCCATTTTTCTTGATCTTGTAGACTCATTTATTTCTAATAGCCTTCTTTCTTTGTGGTAGTGACACAAGTACTCAAGTCTTATTCTTATGGAGAGCTTTAATTTCTTCATGTATTGCTGTCATCCACAAAGATGTATCTGTACTGTTTATAGCTTCATAAAAAGTTAATGGCTCTCCATCCTCTGTTAGAAGACAGTATGTAACATTATTCTCCGTAATATATTCCGAGTGCCAAGTCGGTGGTCTTCTCTCACTAGTTGACCTTCAAATTTCTGGAGCTTCGAACTCGATTGATTCTTGTACATCATACTCTGGTGTTGCTTTGAAAGAATTTGAATTATTTTTACCGGAATAGCTATAGTCTCTGAGTTCTTCCTTGAACTGCTTTCTTTCTCTTCACTTTGTAGTTGGTTCTCTACAAAGATAATATCTCTGCTGACTATAACCTTGCGGGTAGTAGGATCCCATAATCGATACCCCTTTACTCTGTTAGCATACCCTAAGAATAAGTGTTTTCTAGATTTTGAATCTAGCTTTATAATTCTTAGCATTGTACATGTACACTGAACTTCTAAATATATGGAGGTTGGAATAATCAGCTGGCTTGTCGGTCCACATCTCCATCAGCGTCTTTAACTGTATTGCGATTGATGGAGATCGATTCACTACATAACAGACGATTTTTATTGTTTCCGTCCAAAAGACTTTATCCAAATTTATAGTTACCAACATTACTCTTGTTCTTTCCAACAGTGTTCTATTCATCTGCTCCGATACTCTACTTTATTGAGGAGTATATGCATACTGAATTGTCTTTTTATATCTTCTTGCTTGCAGAGTGCAAGAAATTCACTATCTGTGTATTCTCCTCTATTATCTGACCTCAAGCACTTGATCTTCTTTTCAGATTCAAGCTCGATTCGCACTTTGTAGGCTTTAAAGACCGAGAATATATCCGCCTTCTTCTTGATACCCAACATCTCTTAGAGTATTCATCAATAAAGGACATAAAATATTTTACTCCTCCCATGGATGTAACTGGTGCTTGCCATACATCAGAATGAACCAGTTTTAGAATAACATTGCTTCTAGAACTCGATGTGTTGAACTTCAGCCGATGCTGCTTACTTGT